ATTCCTTATATAGCACTATAACTCCTCCCATTAATAGCTACACCCACATATACCTTTAACCAATCAATGAGCAGAATATAGACTTGTACATCTAGTCAAACCACATGGCTCATCCAAGACAAAGGAAATAAGTGCAATTTCAGTTCCTGCATTCCTGCACATGCTCAGTACACTGATGACAGTATCCTAGCTACATGTAGCTAACCAACTGACACAACATACACATATGCCACATGGAGATTTTGGCCTACTAAATTTTGACCATGCTGGAATCCCATCACAGAGCAGCCTTTTAAGTGCTCTTTTTAAATGTGTTTCTGATCCATTATCTTTCTCTTATTTATTTATATGTTAAAGAGAGAACTTGCAGTAGAAAGTTCTTTTTCTTTTTTTGTTTTTTTTTACACATTGGAAAAACAGATCACACAATCTGCTGGCTTTGAATTTTAAAGGGGAGTTACCCATATATAAATAGAAAAATAAGAAATTTATTGAAAGAAATAAGACTGATATTTTGATGCTTTTCCTACACTAAGGGGCCTTTTAATGGTGCTCCACTTTTCTGTATATTTTTCTTTTGGATGTGTGTATGTTTTGTACACACAAACTGGAGGTGGAGAACCTCTATTTTAAAAGGAATTCCACTAGATATGACATCTGAAAGCGTCTTTTTTACAGTTTGTTGTAAATATCACTGTCATTTGACATAACTTGCATGTACTTAAGAATGGGGGGAATGCATAGTTCCTTTTAACCCAGATTTTCCTAAATGGTGACCGCCACATTGCTTTCCTGAAGCTTTTAAGACTCTCTCTCTCTCTGTCTCTGTCTCTCTGTCTCTCTGTCTCTCTGTCTCTCTGTCTCTCTGTCTCTCTGTCTCTGTGTCTCTCTGTCTCTCTCTCTGTCTCTCTGTCTCTCTGTCTCTCTCTCTGTCTCTTTCCTGTCTGAGGTAAAACTACCCTGTATGTTTTATCGGTGTTTCCCTCTCAGGTTGCCGATGTTTTCCTGTTTTACGTGGCCACTGGTGGCTTTCTCCCACACTGTACTTGTACTCTGGACGAATGCTTGAAAAGTCATTTAAATTTGACTTCCCCACATGCTTCCTTCCTGTCTTATAAAGGAGAAATTGCAAAAGTGAGTAAAGGAACATAAGTTGGCAAATGCAAGGTAATGAATGTATTAAAGGACCACTATAGTGCCACTATACTCCCGTGGCGCTGACGGGGGAGGAAGGGGTTAATCCCTTACCTTTTTTCCAGCACCAGGCTCTCTCGGCGCTGGCACTCTCCTCCCTCTTCTGACGTCCCTGGCTGAGTGCGCATGCGCGGCAAGAGCTGCGCGCGCATTCAGCCAGTCAATAGGAAAGCATTCTCAATGCTTTCCTATGGACGCTGGCATCTTCTCACTGTGAAAATCACAGTGGGAAGCGCCTATAGCTGCAGTCAATGAGAGAGCCACTAGAGGCTGGATTAACCCATAGGTAAACATAGCAGTTTCTCTGAAAGCAAAAAGGGTTAAACCTAGCTGGACCTGGCACCCAGACCACTTCATCAAGCTGAAGTGGTCTGGGTGCCTATAGTGGTCCTTTAAGTGATCCAAAGCTCTGTAGTGGGGGTGGGGGGTGTGTGTGTGTGTGTGTGTGTGTGTGTGTGTGTACATACATACCTACCTACCTACCTACCTACCGTGAGGGAAAGTATTTGAACCCCTACTGATTTTGAACATTTTCCTACTGACAAAGAAATAGTCTGTAATTTTAATGGTAGGTGTATTTTAACAGTGAGAGACAGAATAACAAAAAGAAAATCCAGAAAAACATTTGTCAAAAAAATTATAAATTGATTTGCATGTCAATGAGTGAAATAAGTATTTGATCCCCTATCAATCAGCAAGATTTCTGTCTCCCAGGTGTCTTTTTTTTTTTCTTTTTTTTTTTTTAATGCAGGTAACAAGCTGAGATTAGGAGCACTCTCTCCTACACAAGACCATCACCAAGCAGCTTGGTGAGAAGGTGACAACAGGTGGTGCGATTATTTAACAAATGGAAGAAACACAAAAATAACTGTCAGTCTCCCTTGATCTGGTGCTCCATGCAAGAGCTCACCTCACGGAGTTTCAATGATCATGAGAACGGTGAGGAATCAGGCCAGAACTACATAGGAGGATCTTGTTAATGATCTCAAGGCAGCTGGAACCATAGTCACGAAGAAAACAATTGGTAACACACTACGCCGTGAAGGACTGAAATCCTGCAGCGCCCGCAAGGTCCCCCTGCTCAAAAAAGCGCATGTACGAGCCCATCTGAAGTTTGCCATTAAACATCTGAATGATTCAGAGGAGAACTGGGTGAAAGTGTTGTGGTCAGCAGATGAGACCAAAATCAAGCTCTTTGGCATCAACTCAACTTGCCGTGTTTGGAGGAGGAGGAATGCTGCCCATGACCCCAAGAACACCATCCCCACCATCAAACATGGAGGTGGAAACATTATGCTTTGGGGGTGTTTTTCTGCTAAGGGGAAAGGGAGGATGGATGGGGCCATGTACCGTCGAATCTTTGGTGAGAACCTCCTTCCCAGAGCCACGGCATTGAAAATGGGTTGTGGATCGGTTTTCCAGCATGACAATGACCCAAAACACAGCCAAGGCAACAAAGGAGTGGCTCAAGAAGAAGCCTGGGGACAAGCCTAGCCAGTCTCCAGACCTTAATCCCATAGAAAATCTGTGGAGGGAGCTGGTCCAAACGTCAGCCTCGAAATCCTAATTACTTGGAGAGGATCTGCAAAGTCGAGTGAGACAAAATCCCTCCTGAAATGTGTACTAACCTGGTAGCGAACTACAAGAAACATCTGACCTCTGTGATTGCCAACTAGTGTTTTGCCACCAGTAGTGATGTCGCGAACGGTTCGCCGTGGACTCATCATTGAGTAAACTTTGACCAGTCAGCAGACACATTCCAGCCAATCAGCAGCAGACCCTCCCACCTCCTGGACAGCATCCATTTTGAAGCTGCATTCTTAGTGAGCTGTCTGGGAGGGAGGGTCTGCTGCTGATTGGCTGGAATGTGTCTGCTGACTGTGAGGTACAGGGTCAAAGTTTACTCAATGATAAGTCCTCGGCGAACCGTTCGGGACATCACTAGCCACCAAGTACTAAGTCGAAGGGGTCAAATACTTATTTCACTTATTGACATGCAAATGAATTTATCTTTTTATTATTATTTTATTTTTTTGTTCTGTCTCTCATTCTTAAAATACACCTACCATTAAAATTATATACTGGTCATTTCTTTGTTAGTGGGCAAATGTTCAAAATCAGCAGGTGATCAAATACTTTTTTCCATTACTGTATATCCGCATACACTGATAAAATAAAATACCAATTAGTTGCTTACAGAAATATTTATTATATCTGATAAAAACAATGTGGTCCAGCTAATCCACCCATTTGATGTCTCAAAGCCCAGATGTTTTATTCCCTCATTATGCGTAACTTGTCAAGACGGTCTGGATACGTTATTCTTTTTGTCTTCTGCAATGTGTTGTCAATTGTACATTTTCTCGATCTCCCTTTCTTTCTTATTCTGTTCCAGTTTACAAACTTTGATTTAGAATTGAAGTTTGTGTATTTGTCCCTTTGTGCAAATATGCACAGCTGATATGTGATTAGATGTTTTTAATACATTACATTAATTGTTTTTTATTTTTTTATACATGCATGTAAAGGAAACTCCAGACATATGGATTACACGTCCTTTACCAGTGTCTTTAATGAAACTTTTGGCCCTGGAGGTGGTCTATCTCTGTGCTCTGCGCCTTGCCATGCTGGAAGCTATGATGACAGATTTTACTTGTTCAGTGGAGCGGTATCTCAACATTCATAAACGAAGTGCGGTGGAATTACAGAATGGATGTCTGGTATGGTGGGGCTTTAATTTGCTAAAAATGTGTATTTGTAAAATGTTTTTGTTAAACATATATTCATAACATATATTCAGACCGCTTGGCTAAACAGGACATTTAACCCCTTAGTGAGCAGACCATTTTTCAATTTTCTTTCCATTAAGGACCACATTTCTGCGGTGTTTGTGCTTAGCTGTAAGTTTCTTCTTACTCATTTACTGTACCCACACATATTATGTTGGTTTTTCTCGCCATTAAATGGTCTTTCTAAAGATACCATTATTTTCATCATATCATATTATTTACTATAAAAAATTATAAAATATGATGAAACAAATTTACAAAAACACACCTTTTCTAACTTTGACCCCCAAAATCTTACACATCTACAACCGCCAAAAAACACCCGTGCTAAATAGTTTGTAAATTTTTGTCCTGAGTTTAGAAATACCCGAAGTTAACAAATTCTTAGGTTTTTTTTGTGCAAAGTTATAGGGCTATAAGTACAAGTAGGACATTGCTGTTTCAAAATATATAATATTAAAATGTATTAATAGTGACATTGTAACACTGTTATCTGTCATAACTCTCTGAATCACACCTTACATGTAGATATTTTTAAGTAGACAACCCAGGGTATTCAATATGGGGTATGTCCAGTCTTTTTTAGTAGCCACTTAGTCATGGACACTGGCCAAAGTTAGCGTTCATATTTGTTTGTGCAAAAAACTAATTTAAATGCTACTTTTGGCCAGTAATTGTGACTAAGTGGCTACTAAAAATACAAGACATACCCAATTTGCAATACCTTGGGTTGTCTACTTTTGCAAATGGTATGCCATCATGGGGGTAATTCTCATTCCTGGTCTACCATACTGTCTCAATGGCAACAATACCAATCTGGCAAATTTCAGTGTGAAAAAAAGGAAATGCAAGACAGCCACTAGAGGGACTTCCATGTTCTTAGAACACGAAAAGTGTGTTAAACGAGTCTAGACATCCTCACGCTGTGCATGAGGACCTCCAGCGTCACCGGAATCCCCATAGGAAAGCATTTAATAATGCTTTCCTATGGGGAGGTCTAATGCGTGCGCGATCATTGCTGCGCATGCCCCTTAGGTCTCCCCCTGCCGACATCAGGAGTGTGGGCGGAGCTTGACTAAGCGCCGAGGGACATCAGTGGTGGATTCAGGTAAGTCACTGAAGGGGTTTTAACCCCTTCAGCAACATGGGATGGGGGGTGGGAGGGAAGAGGGCACTGGAGATGTTTTGCTGGCACTGGAAAGTCCCTTTAATAAAATTACTTGGTTATGTAAAAATATTATAAATGTATGTATATACTTCAGGGAGATTATGCTAAACTAATCTTATTGATATTATTTTGATTGGGTAACTAAAATAATAGATCAGGGTGGTGCAGTAGACCTTGCTTACCTAGATTTCAGTAAGGCTTTTGACACTGTTGCACATAGAAGGCTTATCAATACATTGCAATCTTTTAAGTTTGGATTCCAATATTGTTGCATGGATAAGGCAGTGGCTGAGTGACAGGCAACAGAGGGTTGTAGTCAATGGAGTATATTCGAAGCTTGGACTTGTCACCAGTGGGGTACCTCAGGGATCTGTACTTGGACCCATTCTCTTTAATATTTTTATTAGTGATATTGCAGAAGGTCTTGATGGTAAGGTATGTCTTTTTCCTGATGATACCAAGATCTGTAACAGGGTTGATGTTCCAGGAGGGATAAGCCAGATGGCAAATGATTTAGGTAAGCTAGAAAAATGGTCAGTTGTGGCAACTGACATTTAATGTGGATAAGTGCAAGATAATGCATCATGGACGTAAAAACCCAAGGGCAGAGTACAGAATATTTGATAGTCCTAACCTCGACATCTGAGGAAAGGGATTACGGGGTGATTATTTCTGATGACTTAAAGGTAGGCAGACAATGTAATAGAGCAGCAGGAAATGCTAGCAGAATGCTTGGTTGTATAGGGAGAGGTATTAGCAGTAGAAAGAGGGAAGTGCTCATGCCATTGTACAGAACACTGGTGAGACCTCACTTGGAGTATTGTACGCAGTACTGGAGACCGTATCTTCAGAAGGATATTGATACCTTTAGAGTTCAGAGAAGGGCTACTAAACTGGTTCATGGATTGCAGGATAAAACTTAGCAGGAAAGGTTAAAGGATCTTAACTTGTATAGCTTGGAGGAAAGACAAGACTGGGGATATGATAGAAACAAGGTTTAAAAGTAATTTCAGGAAGTATTACTTTAGTAAGAGGGTAGTGGATGCATGAAATAGCCTTCCAGCTGAAGTGGTAGAGGTTAACACAGTAAAGGAGTTTAAGCATGCGTGGGATAGGCATAAGCAATCCTAACTATAAGATGAGGCCAGGGACTAATGAAAGCATTTAGAAAATTGGGCAGACTAGATGGGCCGAATGGTTCTTATCTGCCGTCACATTCTATGTTTCTGTGTTATTTGTGTAAGTGTGTGTGTGTGTGTATGTGTGTGTATGTATGTATGTATATGTGTGTGTGTGTGTGTGTGTGTGTATATATTTAGATAGATTTATAATGTCATTCTAAATGTATTTTAATTTAAATCTAAATGTATATTAATATCAAAATAGTTAGAACAAATTTAAACCGATATATAATTTTTTTTACATTTCGTTTTATTACACCTTTTTCATTTTTTTTTTTCCAATTTATTTTTATTATATATTATTGTCATTCTAAGTGTATTTTAATATTGCCATATAAATATTAAAATACACTTAGAATCATGGCTTGTGTATGTGCATATAAATGTACTTGGATCATATATATGGAAGGCTGGGCCTGTAGTTGTAAGATGGGCTTGATTTCCCTACATAATGATCACCAATCCCCTCCTCATTACCATTATTGGTCTGGCGATTTGCATACCTGGACTTCCAGCCGCAGCAGATCGCCATTTTGTCTACCTTTCCTCATGAATACCTTACATTCTCTTGGAGTGTCTGCCCGTCCTGGTTAGTCTTTTTAAGCCTCCGGGATTCTTCCCTTCTCCTCCGGTCTCGGCCACAAGCTATCCTGAAGCTGTTGTAAAAGTGAGTTGTTTGACCTTCGCGGGTGCACAGCATCATCATGGACCAACTCTATTCTTATACTCTATTTCGTATACCTTTCGTGAGGTCTTTTGTTAAATCTTTCGTTAACTTCCATACGAACGTACGGTTTGGTAGCTTCTATTTTTTTTTTTTTTTTTTTTTTAAATCCACTGCTTGTTGGTTCGTGTGAGTTTGCGCTCACCCGTTTGGGCCTTTGTGCGCATGCATATCACTTACGATTCATACAACATATGTTTAGTGATCGGTTAAGCGTGGAGCGTTCAGTTGTCATGTATGATTACAACCGAATGCCCTATTATAGTGATAGGTATTCCCTGTGTCTATGCAAACTGTTGCATAACTATATGTACATGTTAAATGGGCTGCTGTCCTCTAGAAGCTATGGGGGGGTACTGCACGTTTTATAACATTTCTGTTCAAACTACTTTTTGTTTTAAAGTAGTGCATTATTGCTGATTTTATGCTGCCTATTCCATATGTTGTAACAAATATTATTATTTTTTAGGTTGCCGGACATGAACCTTTCTTGTGGCTGTGTCTCTAATAGTTTTTCAAGTCTCATAGGTTCTGGTTGACTCCGTTTCAGTTGTCCTACTTGTCTTAGTTGGGTCATTTTTATGTCTGTCAATTAGTAGTTAGTTATGTTTTCTTGGAGGTTCTGATGTCTGTTGTATTATATTACTGATTGAAGTCGCTTTGCTCTTAAGATATCCCGTCTGTTCGATTTCTGAAAATTTACATTGGTTAGTGTTTTTTGTAGATTTGTCTTTGGTTCCACGATCTGATAACCTAATATGTTCTTTCTATGTTATTAGGTACTAGGCCCTACTGGTTCTACTACCACTTAAGCTTTGCTGGTTAATTTTAGGCCTAGTCTGTTGGCTGGTAGGTATTGCATATTTTTTTTTTTTTTTATATATAATTAACGCCCTCGATCTGGGTACTACAACATTGCTATTGGTCTCACAGGTATTGCTTGGGTTCTATCTACTCTGTCCGATTCTATACACATCTGTTAAGTTATGTGTATCAAGTTTTCTTTACACCTTCCCCCCTCCCCATCCTGCATCTGGTACTACAGTGAGAATTTGTCTACTGGCTGATAGGTTTTAGAGTCCGCCTATTTAGACTTTCTGGCCTTCTTGCCTTTGAGTGGTCCCGCAAGGCCCATTCACATGGTGGTATAGAGAGGGGCTCCCCGTGTCACTCCCATGCTATCTTTTGCTTTACTAGTCACAGACACATTTTCGGTGGCCACAAAATCCCCTCTGGCCAACTCATAGATTGAGCCTCTCATGCCGCTTGGCAATTAGTAGGGCTCCCCTCTCTGTGTTGAATATTTTTCCGCCACTTGGCATTAGGTAACCAGCCAGTACGATATTACCTTGGTTTCTAAAAATAGTTTTTGCTAAAATGGCTTGCAGTCCATATAATTGCGTGGGTTGTTCTACCCAGTCATATTTCTCTATTACTGTGATGCAAGTGTTTAAATCAACTGATTAAATTGATACTATAGTTCTAGAAATTCAAATCTGTATTTCTAGCACTATACTAACCCACCCCCACGCCCCCTCCCCCCACCTCTGGCACTGTAACAGTTCATAAACACAAGTCCTGCAATGTAACTGCAGTAATTAACTTTGCAGGGTTAAGGGGACCGGGATATTACACCCAGGCTACTTCAGTGATCTGTAGTGTCCCTTTTAAGGTCTGTGTAATAGAATTAGCCCATTTTTTGCAATAATAAATCATATATGAGCGAGAGAGTGGATTTGCTCTGTGTGTAGTATTCAAGTGGCAGATGGAAGTATATACAAATGGTAATTAATCAAAAATAGCCAACAATGTAAAAATAGAAATATATTAAAATGTGAAATTTATTTTTATTTACTTTTCCTTTGTGTCCTGTAAAACTGCAACTGGCAATGAATTCACATTTACAATACACACTGCTCAGTCATTTCTCATGAACAGTAGGCAGATGAGGGGCAGAGGCAGCAGATGCAGAGTTCAGTACAAGTTAGATTTTACTATATTTATATATATTTGGTGAGACCAGGGGGAGGGCTAGATGGTGGTTTTAACACTAAAGGGTCAGGAACACAAACATCCAGTGTCTGCAAATATTTACAGTTTCTATAGAAGATGGAACTTATGTCATAAATAACTTTAAAGTACTCTTAATATAGTGCTCGACAAATCCCAGGTCTCCATGGTGCATAGGAATTTTACCTTGGCGCCTGGGATATGCGAGACCCTTAACTCTAAAGCGGGCGGGCGGCCAGGTGGGGGATTTTGTAGGAACACGGCTTGCTGGGTAGTCATGGAGGCAGGTGGCTAGCTACCAAATAGGAGGGCGGCAAGGAAGCTGTCATGTCTCTGCTCCCCCGCATGCTGCTTAATGAGACTGGGGCCGGGATATTAAGTCATTCTGGCCCCGATATCACTAAGCGGTGCACAGGGAAGCAGAGCAGACACATCACAGCTCCCTCGCTGCCAGCAACAATATGCGTAACTAGCCGCCTGCCTCCATTACCACCCAGAAAGCCGCCTTACTACAAAATCCCCCAGCTGGCTGCCTGCACGATCCCCCAGCTTGCCTCCCGCCTCCATAATCCTTCAGCATGCCGCTCGCCTGCATGATCCCCCAGCCTGTCGCGCACTGGACCCCACAGATATTAAAACAATACAATACAAAATAAAGTGCTCAGCGCAAGGTATAAAAGAGCAGTGTTAATACTCTAACTCCCAGGGTTTACACCACCAAAATGTGTAAAAAGGTGATTGTGGATATACCTGAATATAAATACAGTGTCACTTCTTCTCCAATAATGGAGTTTATTAACACAGGTTTTCCTACACAATATAAAGAAGGAAAATCTCATAGGGCAACACAAGGGTAAAAGTGGTAAATAACTCTTTCAAGTCTCTGTATGGTCCAACTCACATTTTGTTGAGCCTGTTATATCAAAACCGGCTCAGGTAATATCGCTTTTAATGCAGTATATTATGGTTCCAGACAGGTTGGAGCTTAATCCTCAGATATAGAATGCACCAGTTAGTGTAAAACCATAACATTTATTATAAAAAAAAAAGTATAAAATCTTACATTGACATTACTGACGTGCCATTCATCAGTATACAAAGCACAACGCATTTCAACGCTCAAATTTGCATCTTCCTCAGATGCATACATACTCTTATACCCTGCTTATAAGTCCATTTTGGTGCCTTATTTTTCCATTTGGGGACATCCCCCCCACTATAATTAGCCTACCAGAACCCTCCCAACCCTCTAGTTCAATTGTGATCGATATCGCAATGATATGATGTCACTTCCGGTTTCGCTGGTATGTGTTCCAGCTACTGTTTTTATGTGTTTCTCCCCCCCTCCCCCATTAACAAATTAGGACAAAAAAAAATAAAACACCCTTCTCAGGGGGCTGCTGTGATTGAAAAATGCCGGGTCGATTTTTATTTTTTATTTTTATTTTTTCTCTCTTCAGGTCCGGCCCTGTGTGTGTGTGTGTGTGTGTGTGTGTATTGGGGAGGAGGGGAGGGAGAGCTATTATAAAAAAACAAATATGAACGCTGGCCAGCGTTTGTGACTAAGTGGTTACTAGAAAAGACTGGACATACCCCATTTTGAATACCCTGGGTTGTCTACATTTGAAAATGGTATGCCATGATGAGGTTATTTCACATTCCTGGGCTACCATATGGTCTCAAAAAGCAACATAGACCCAGCAAACCAATCTGGCAAACTGAAATGGGCAAGCCCTATATTGACCCTGTAACTTTCCAAAACACCATAAAACCTGAGGGGTGTTGTTCTACACGGGAGACTTTGCTAAACACAAATATGAGTGTTTAACCCCTTAAGGACCAAACTTCTGGAATAAAAGGGAATCATGACATGTCACACATGTCATGTGTCCTTAAGGGGTTAAAACAGTAAAACTTATCACAATGATGAAATCACCAGTAAAAGTGCAATTTTTGTGTAAAAAAAAAAAAAAAAAATACATAAAAATTCAAAAAATAAGAACGCAAATTTGGCCAGAGTTTGTGGCTACTACAAAAGACTGCACATACCCCATTTTGAATACCCTAGGTTGCCTACTTTCACAAATGGTATGCCCTGATGGGGTTATTTTTTTATAATGTGCTGCTTGTCAAAGGCAACATAAGCCCCGCAAACCAATCTGGCAAATTTTAATGTGCAAACATGAAAAAGGGGGAAAGCCCTACATTTGACCCCTGTAAGTTTGCAAAAACCCATAAAACCTGTACATTGGTGGCACTGTTGTACTCAAGAGATGTTGCTGAACGCATATTGGGGTGTTCATTGTCCGTAACACATAACAGGAACTGAGAATTCATGCCTAAAGTACAATGTGTGTGAAAAATAACACAAAATGACTACCCAAAAGTTTGACAAAGACTGGTGGTAGAATTAGTGCATGGAAAGTGTTAATATAACACCATTTGAATTACCCTAGGGTGTCTACTTTTATAAATATGTGGTTTGATGGGGTAAATAACATTGGCAGGCTTCAAAAATGTCCCAAATAGGACATGGGTGCACCATGCATGACCAGCTGTGAAAATTCCAAGTTGGAAGACTGGAAAGCGCACCCTCCAAATAAGGTCTTTTAACCCCCAGAGAACCCGACACACCTATACATGGGTGGTATCACTGTACTAAGGAGATGTTGCTGAACACATATTGGGGTGTTATTTGGCAGTAACCCTTAAAGTTCTCAGTACATGTATTCTTAAATTGCTACGTGTGTCAAAAAAATCACCAATTATTTATTTTTATTTTTTAATTTGGCATAAATTAGTGGTAAAATGGCTGCATGAAAAGAGTCAAAATACCCCAAGTTTAATACCTTAGCTTGTCTTATTTTTAAAAAATATATACATGTGAAGGGTTATTCAGGGATTCCTGACAGATATCAGTGTTACAATGTAACTTGCGTTAATTTTGAAAATAAATGGTTTGGAAATAGCAAAGTGCTACTTGTACTTATTGCCCTATAACTTGCACAAAAAAAAATTAACATTTCTAAACTCAGGACAAAATTTAGAAACTATTTAGCTTGGGTGTTCTTTGGCGGTTGTAGATGCGTAACAGATTTTGGGGGTAAAGAAAATGGGATGTGTGGTTTTTTTGTTTTTTTAAGTTTTTTCATCATATTTTAGAAAAAAATGTATAGTAAATTATGATATGAGGAACATAATGGTATCTTTAGAAAGATCATTTAATGGCGAGAAAAACAGTATATAATATCTGTGGGTACAGTAAATGAGTAAGAAAACGACAGCTAAACCCAAACACCGCAGAAATTTAAAAACAGCCCTGGTCCCAAACGGTAAGAAAATTGAAAAGCGATCTTGTCACTAAGGGGTTCAACTTAATGGACATACATTAATAGCTCTCCCCTGCAAAAGAAAAAACACGTTCCTGGAGTTATGCGCCAGGCGAAGCTCCCTACACTTGGTTTCATTGCCCATCTGACGTCAAAGCCTCTCACTCTATGATCCAGTCAGATGCCACTTATGAGCAAGGATTTGAATGGACCATTCTCCCAGCTCTGAGCGCATAGTCGCACTCTGAGCTGGGGAGAGGAACCTAAGAACAAAGACAAACGTAGCACTATAATGGAGTTTGTAGGGCTCTGTTTAAGGAGGGTGGAGAAATAAAGGCTTCACGTTGCAGGCACGCAGCTTACAAGGGGAGAAGCTGACTATATCTGTCGCCAGTGGGCTCTGCATGGGATCATGGTCTTTGTTTTTTCTCTGAATTTAAGCGTTTTTAAGCAAAAATGCTACATTTATAAATTCTTATCACCATCACCACTTCTAAAAGAAGTAGTGATCGTGGGGGTTGTTGTAAATTTTTGAGTTGCTTTGTTTATATTAGGTATATTTTGTACCATATAAAAGAATATATAGATATTTTTGCTTTTTTTTTTTTTAAATAAGCATGTTCTTTGTATATTTACCAGGCATCAAAACATTACAAAAATTACAAATAATGAATCTATCTATTACTCTCAAGAGATTGCTGTGCCGTGGACCATCCAGGCTTCTTGAAGGGTGCATTGGCGAGTAACGTTAACTTGAAATGTTAATATATGTATATTGTATAGTTTTCCACATTACCTATACCATATTACCCTCACATTGTTCCATCTGGACACAGTGTATACCTGGCTGTGTGTACTTGTGTCTATGTAATGGTGTCTCTGCATGCTTGTCTGTCACTGTGTATATGTTTGTGTTTTGATGACTGTCTGGAATGAATGCCTCTGTATCTTTGCATCTGTAAGCATATCTATTTGTCTTAGATCATATGTGTGGCAGCTGTTTGCAGTCTGTTGTATATATGGGTGGGCTGCTTGTGTTGTTTTGTGTGTTATGGCTGGAGTGACTGTGTGTGAAGGTTACTGTGTATATGAAGGTGACTTTCTCCGGGTGGTGAGTGTGGACCATGCGTTTGTGTGGATGAAATGTGTCTTGTGTTCAAATCCCTTTTCTGCCCCATGCGTCTCTTTAAAAATACTGGATGGTCAGTTGTGGGCTAGCCAATTGAGCTTTACTTTAATACAAAACTTGGAAAAGGGCAAAAACATCAAACCACTAATACAATATCTAATTTCTTCTTTAGTTTGAATAAAATTGTTAGTGATAGGATATTCAAAATAATATCAATAGCTATTTTAGTTGACCTCGTGGATCTGAGCAGACCTCTCAAAAGTTAATGCTATGGTATTAAATTAACGATAGTACATGTTGTCTTGTATTCTTTTCTGTTTGTAGTTTCCTGGTTCTGTTCTACCAGAAGAGTTGCGAGAATTGAGTGTTCTGCAGGAAACCAGACAAAAAATGGCTCTGGAAAAATTTCAGGTAAATGACATGGGCTTACTGATGCGGCTTGAAGAAAAGCAGATTACTCCGACGGAAAATGGCAAAGTTAAACGAGAGTTAATGCTTCCTTTTTCTGATCAGCTGTGCCCCGCTGAGAGAAAGGGACTGCTCAGGTTAGGTGCATTGCCCAAGCAGTCTGGCAAAACAAATCAAAGTGCAGAATCTCAGAGGTCACCTAAGAAAGAAGAGTTTGGAGTCAAAGCTTGTGAATGTTCTGTTTCGGTAGATCCCTCTGGGACAACTGCACAGTTACCTGCCAAGTCTTTGCAGAAGACCTCTCAATGTAGAAACAAAGAAGGACCGGTTCTTGGATTCGAGAATCTCCATTTAACTAGCTATCAAAGGCCAGTCACTAATTTTACCTGTCCAATAGGAACACAACTCCGGATGTCTGCACCTCAGTTTTTGACCAGAAATTTATATAAATCTAGTTCTTGGTGAGAAAGTTTTTGGAGGGATGTCTAGTGCAACACCCTGTGGTTGAAGGTGCATTCATAGGAACAAGGGGGAGATTTATAAAAACTACAGTAATTCAGAGTTCTAAAAGTTGTCCAGTCACCTTGAAAACGAATGGACTTGGCAAGGGTTTTTTTGTTGTTTTTTTTTTTGCTTTACTGTTGGAGCTCTGCACCGCTTTTTTTTTTTTTTTTTTTTTGCAACACTTTCGGAACCAACCGAAGCATTCATTCTGAAGCAATACTATTAAAGTGACACCATCAAAATTGTGAGTTTAAATGTTATCATAGTATCACCGTGATGGCACTGCGTTCATTAGAGAGTGGGGTATCGTTATGCAGATTTCATTAGAGTTGGGCATACATTGGTATAACTTTGCATCATTAGACTGCTTGGATACACGGTGCTCTTTTTGCATGAATAGGGAGTCCTGGAAGCATAAGTTATGTTCACTGAATGTACTGTGGATAGTAACTCACCTCATTCTAACCAAAACCATGATGAGACTGAGTCCACAGATGTACACTCTAATGCAATCATGTCAAACTCAAAGTCTGGCATGGGCCACATAAACAAGGTTTAAGTTTATGTGGGCCGCAATAAAAAATACCTTAAATTTTCTTAGAAACGTAGGTTTATCTTAAGTTTTCTGCTCCCTCACGCGTTTTAGTGATGCCAGAATATGACATCATATTCCGGCGCCCCGCTTAACTACAGACGGCGCGCGCGCAAGTGAGGAGCTGGAACACTAAACTCCCTCTCTGACCCTCCTCCCTGGCCAGGTAAGTGTTAGAGTAGGAGGCACCTCCAATGTGGGGAAAGCAGGTGCCTACTCTGCTATAACACAGAGCATGTACTCGTGGCTTGTCGGACCGCAAAGATGGTCCTTGTGGGCCACGAGTTTGTGGATAGTCTCCTAAATACATTTATAAGCCATGACATTAAAACCACTTGCCTAATATGGTGAATGTCACCCTCTTGCTTCCAAAACAGCTTTGATGTATTGAGCCATGGACATCATAAGACATCTGATCATGTCCTGTGGTATCTGGCACCAAAATATTAACATTAGATCCTTTAAAGGGACACTCCACTTCCAGATACATGAAAAATAATCACTGTTTAGTAGATATAACCAAAAGAAAACGTGCATGCATTTTTTTCATTGGAGTTATATCTAAAAACAGCTTGCAAAACCTGCAGCTCTCATGTCTGCGGTCTTTACAAGCTCTCCTCTTCTAGCCCACCCTGACTTTATGTGACTGTTCAATCCCAGACTTTCCAATGAAGCTCGATGAGAAGTCTTTGCAAGGCAGGTGCAGTGAGCCGTTACTGCCTCTTGCGTTTAATTCAAATAAGGTAACCAAAGCAGGAAGTAACAGGACCTGCTGTCTGCTTGAAAAGCCAGGGTGATGTAACCAGGTTGATTTATAAAAGTGTAAATTTCTATTGAAATCTGCACCATTTCCAAAATAAAAAAAAATAGGGCACACTCTTCACACACACAGCTTTTCAGCAAGCTAAAGTGCTTTAGGGTTCTGGAGTGTCCATTTAAGTCTTGCAAGGTTTGGACTCCATGCATCAGATTTGTTGTTCCAGCACATCCCATAGATGCTCAATCAGATTGAGATCTGGGGACTTGGGAGGCAAAGTCAGCATATTGAACTCCGTCATATTCCTCAAACCATTCCTGAACAACTTTTGATGTGTGGCAGGGTGCATTATCCTGCTGAGAGGCCAATGCCACCAGGGAAAACCATTGCCGTGGTCTGCAACAATCTCTTGTTAGGTGGTACATATCAGAGTAACATCCACGTGAATGCCAGGACCCAAGTTTCCTCAGTAGAACATTGCCCAGAGCATAAAACTGCCTCTGTCAGCCTGCCTTCTTGCTATAGTATAGCCTGCTGCCCTCTCTACCCCAGATAAACTACACACACGCACCCCTGGCCATCGGCCTGATCTAAAAGAAAGTGTAGACGAGGCAACATTCTTCCATTAGAGGTAATAGGGGTAAATCTTGATAGCCAAACAATATGTCTATCAGAGACTAGGTAAGAGGGAATAAGACAAAAGTGAATAAAAGCTCAAAATTGGAAAAAGTGGGGTTTCACCAAATCCCAAATGTATTAACAAATATAGAAACAGAGTGAACCAGGAGCTTGAAGATGTGAGGAAAGGAATGCAGCTATAAAATATCTGACAATATTGCAGTATATTATACAAGGATATCAACATAAATATAAAACGTCAAATAGGTAATATAATTACCAATCTAAATTATAAGTGACTCTAAAATAATTAAAAATAGATATATATTGTCTTAATCTCATATAGCAACAATCAATATAATGACTGGATGAAAAGTCCAAATAAATAACTCAGTCCAAGCGTGCAAACATCCAAATATTGCACAAAAGGTAAAGGATATATATCATAAAACACCTTTGATCTGCTAGAATAAATATAACCGAATCAGCTGAGGTATTTATGAATTGCTCTACTTTCAAATAAACAAAAAAAAGAAAGATAGGAGTGGACACATCATACAGATACTAGGCTTGTTGGTATCGAAAACTAACAGTCTAATTGTCAGTCTTTCATCTGTAGAGTCTAGGCTGACTGCCAAAAATCTGCAACTGTAGTATCAACAGTAGATGTAAATATCAAATCAAATGGATACTTCAAGATAAGTCCGTTTGAAAAAAATGACTTGTAGAAAATAAGTTAATTAAAAAAGAGAAATACTTTATTTTTAAAAAACCATATTCATGATCAAAATATCAAAATACTGTATAAGTAATGTGCTATAAACTGTTCCAAAATAGGAGAAAGTAAAAGGACTGAAAAAACCTGTTTAGTCCTTCTGGATGGCTGTGGATGATATTCTTTCCTTCCTGATCGATATTGCAGCAACCGGTGACGTTAGGCAACAGTGGTAGAATGTCGAGTCCTTACTTTCTCCAACAGTTCTCTTTGCATCGTTTACAGCAAAGTTATTTATTATTTGGACTTTTCATCCAGTCATTATATTGATTGCTGCTATATGAGATTAAGACAATATATATCTATTTTTAATTATTTTAATTATTTTAGAGTCACTTATAATTTAGATTGGTAATTATATTACCTATTTGACGTTTTATATTTATGTTGATATCCTTGTATAATATACTGCAATATTTGTCAGATATTTTATAGCTGCATTCCTTTCCTCACATCTTCAAACATTCTTCCATTGCTCAGTGGTCCAGTTCTGACACATCCGCATAAGTCGTTTTTGCCGGTGGACAGGAGTGCTCATGGGCACTCTGACAAGTCTACGGCTATGCAGCCTTATACGAATTAACTGATACTATGGGTGTTCTAACACCTTTCTATTATGGACAGCATCATGTTTTTTTCCAGCAATTTGGGATACAGACAAGAGTTCAGTTGTCCTTCCTTGCATCATTTTTGGTAGGAACTTACCACACGAGATTGTCTGTTTTGGACATGCTCTGACCCAGTCATCTAGCCATCACTTTTTGGCCCTTGTCAAAGTCACTCAGATCTTTTTGCTTGCCAATTTTTCTGCTTTCAACACATGCAGTTGAAAAACTGACTGCTCACTTGCTGCCTCCAATACCCTTCCCTTTTATTGGTGCCCTTGAAATGATAAAATCTGCTATTCACTTCACCTGTGAGTGGTTTTTAAAGGAACACTATAAGGTCAGGAACACAAACCTGTATCCCTGACCCTATAGGGTTAAAACCACCATATAGCCACCCTGGGCCCCTCATGCCTCCATAAATATAGCAAAATCTTACTGTATTCAAGCCTGAAGCTGTAGATCTGCATGCTGTTTGCCTCAGAAAAACAAGCTGTCTGCCGACATCATCAGAAGTGGTAGCCAGATCCAATCACAATGATTCCCCATAGGATTGGCTGAGACTGACAAAGTGGCAGATCCAGCACAATTCAAACACAGCCCTGACCAATCAGCATCTCCTCATAGAGATGAATTGAATCAATGAATCTCTATAAGGAAAGTGCAGTGTCTTTATGCAGAGGGAGGAGACACTGAATGTTTGGATACATTTTAGGCAGCCATGACCCAGGAAGGATCTCTAACAGCCATCTGAGGAGTGGCCAGTGAAGTTATCACTAGGCTGTAATGTAAACACTGCATTTTCTCTGAAAAGACAGTGTTTACAGAAAAAAGCCTGAAGGTAATGATTCTACTCAGCAGAACAAATTCATTAAGCTGTAGTTGTTCTGGGTGACTTTAGTGTCCCTTTAATGTTGTGGCTGATCAGTGTATGGATAAATATAGTGCCACAACTCTATATTCATTATATATGTTGCTGTAATAAATGACCTTGTAACAAGAGCTTTCTTATGAATCCAACACCATTCTGGTGCTCAATATTTTTAAATACTCCCATTTTAAAACCATAAAGATTGAGCCAACTATTAAAGCAACAAGCAGGTTTAATTTATAGGGAAATTATAGTGCCTCCTTCAACGCTGAAAGAGTTAAAGAGTTGTAACTCGCCTGATTCCAGCGCCGATGTCCCTCGGCTTTGAGTCAGAATTAGTCAACAGTGTGGCCCTAATGCGCATGTGTGGCAAGCGCCATGATCGCATTACTACTTCCCCATAGGAAAGCATTGAACAAAGCATGTCCAGCGTCATTAGGACCCGGAAGCGCCTATAGTAACTGTATGGTAGACCGCCACTGGAGGTGGAGTTAACCTGCAAGGTAATTCTTGCAGTTTCTTAGTAACTGCAATAATTATTATTGCAGGGTTAAGGGGACAGGGGCACTGCACCCAGACCACTTCAATGAGATAAGGTGGTCTGGGTGCCTATAGTGTCCCTTTTAAATATCTTTTGGGTTACTTGTTTTAGATATTCCTTAATCTTTATTTTGGTATCTTTCATATAACTTGTTTATAATGTGAACGGTCATTTCTCTGAAAGTGATTTTTCAGATTCCTTCCCCCCTGTAAAGTCTATTGATGCGTAACTGTTGGCTTTTGGATTGTGCCAAAATTCCCAGATTTTACTAGTAACATGACGTAAAGTCATGATTTTATTAAAGACACGGAGGCGAGTATTATGCATAACTCTTTCTTTATTTCCTCAGCAGCAAAGAAAGAGAAATATAAATATTATCAAAACTGAAGAAAAAACTGTATAGGCACAACAGGTAGCCAATCACAGGGTATAGGAAGTAGCTATATAAGTCTTGTGTCTCCCACAATCCCCCTCTTTCTTGCGAACCGAAGACCAGGTAAGATGAACGATGTCCCACTTGGCCGAAACAGGGTAACGAGAAAACGATGCGACAATTTCAAGCTAAAAAAGATAGAGAAATATGGTAATTTCTTAATTCAGAACTGCAAACTTACCAAACATAGTCTTGGGGAGACACAGGTAAAACAGAGTACTGAAATATAAAAACAACAGAATTAGTACACAGCATAAAGGTACAACAACCCGTACAAAAGATGCAAATCAACTGATAGGATACAGATCAAACTGAAAAAACATACCTGTAGAGCCACCAAGCATCTCGTACCCCAACTCCACTCCGGGAGGGTGGGAGGGAATAATACTCGCCTCCGTGTCTTTAATAAAATCATGACTTTACGTCATGTTACTAGTAAAATCTGGGAATTTTATTAAAGACACAGAGGCTCATATTATGCAAGTTCAAAGCTGTGCCACCACACGAGATGCGATGTGCTCAATTGGCCTGAAGTAGAAGGTTCGGAAGGTCGATTCCCGAGACCAATCCGCCGCTCGCATAATGTCCTCTAGGCGACATCCGACTGAAGAGGCTTTCGAGGCCATCGCGCCCCTGACAGAATGGGGCGTAAATACTGAGGTGTCTATACCCGCGGAGGATAGCAGCCAGCGCACCCAACGTGCTAGAGTAGGAGTCGAAACCGGCCGGTGAGGCGATTTAAAGGATATGAACAGATCGTGCAGGTCTGTCATGCGAAGGGGACGTGTAACATCCAGATAGTCCTTGATGCAATCCACCGGGCAGAGCGCTGGACAGTCTGAAAACCTAGGGTATGTAAGTGACTTAGATGCAGACTTGGTCCTCCTGGAAATGTCAAAGGTGACGCCTTCTGGGGTGAATGCAACGGCGTCCCAGTCCAGGGCCCGAACGTCAGAGACCCTTCTGCAAGAAATCAGGCACAGTAACATAACCAATTTGGCAGACAATTGCTTGAGAGTCAGCTCCAAATTGGGGTACCATGATGATAGGAACTGTAGCATCACGTTGACGTCCCAAAAGGCGGCAAAACGAGGTCGAGGAGGACGAGCAAGGCGAATACCCTTGAGAAGTCGACAGACAAAAGGATGCTTGCCAACCGGAGAACCGTCTAGACCTTCGTGACCGGCTGAGATAGCTGAGCGGAAAAGGTTAATCGTGCGGTATGCCTTGCCCGAATCAAATAGGAACGTGAGGAACTCAAGAATCAAAGGCAGAGGTGCAGATACGGGATCCATTGCCCGTTCCATGCACCAACCAGACCATGATCTCCATGAATGTCGGTAAGCTGTCCGTGTACCCGGGGCCCAGGCGTTATCGAGGAGTCGGAGAGTTGACTGCGAAACGTCTGGGATAACCCAAGGTCCCCTGAAAGGAACCATGCTATGAGGGGTAGCTGATGCTGCAACACCAGGTCGTGAGAGTTCCCATCCGGATCCAGAAGGAGGTCTTGGAATACCGGAAGTAAACGAGGGTAGTCTATGGACAGTTCCATCAGCCGAGGGAACCATGGTCGAGACCTCCATAGGGGGGTGATCAAAGCCATCCGGCAATCGTGGCGGACCAGTTTCGAGATCGTGCGTGCGATCATGTTGAATGGGGGAAAGGCGTACAGCAGACCCGGTGGCCATTCCTGGAGGAAGGCATCTGTCGCTATTGCAGCCGGATCCGGCCTCCAACTGTAGAACCTCGGTAGCTGAGTGTTCAGGCGTGACGCGAATAGGTCCAACTGGAACCGGCCCCACAACCTGTTCAGGCACTGGAACACTGAAGCATGTAGATGCCAGTCTCCGGAGTCCCGTAAGTGTCTGGAATTCCAATCCGCCCCCGAATTGTCCAGACCTGGGATGTGTTCCGCCGTCACCGAAACGTTGTTGTAGAGGCAGAACTGCCAAAAATCCTTTGCCAGAAGCGCCAACATTTTGGATTTCGTGCCCCCCAGGTGATTTATGTAACGAACTGCTGATACGTTGTCCATCTTGAGGAGAACGCAACAATTCGCTCTCCCCGGAGCAAGGCTGCGGATCGCGAAGGCACCTGCCAGAAGTTCCAGGCAGTTGATGTGTAACGACTTCTCCGTGTCGGACCACCTGCCTCCTGTGGAGACGTTGCCACAACGAGCGCCCCAGCCGTGTAAGCTGGCATCGGACTCTATCACTACATCCGGGGCAGAACCGAAGATGGCTCTTCCGTTCCATGCCTCCATGTGCGCCAACCACCACGCTAGTTCGTCCCTGGACTCCTCGTCTAATGTTATCCGAGATTCGTATGAATGACCGGAGCGAAGCCGTGATCCCTTGAGCCGTTGGAGTGCTCGGTAATGCAGGGGGCCTGGGAAAATTGCTTGAATAGAGGCCGCGAGAAGGCCGATAATTCTCGCCAGTTGTCTGACCGACAAATCTGGAACACGGAGGGCCCTCCGAATTTCCTTCTGGATGGCTTTCACCTTGGCATCCGGGAGGAACAGGAACTGCTGGATGGAATCTACTTGAAAACCCAGAAACTCTATGGACTGGGCAGGGACCAGGACCGACTTGCTCCAATTGATCAGAAATCCCAACTTCTGCAGAAGGTCGGTCGTCCATCCCAGGTGTGTGAGGAGATCCTCTCGTGACTGGGATAAAATCAAGATATCGTCCAGGTAGATAATGAGGCGAACCCCCCGGGTTCGGAGGAATGTCACCACGGGCTTCATGAGCTTGGTGAAGCACCAAGGGGCCGAGGAGAGACCGAAAGGCAGGCAGGTGAAGCGCCAACGACGCCCATGCCAGGTGAAGTGGAGATAATCCCGGAACTCCAAAGCGATGGGGACCGTAAAGTATGCGTCCTTCAGGTCTAGCTTGGCCAACCAGTCCGATTGACGTAGGAGGTCTCTGAGGCAGTGTATACCTTCCATCTGGAAGTGTTGGTAGCGTAGAAAAGCGTTGAGTGGGCGAAGATTTATGACAGGGCGAACTCCGCCTCCTTTCTTGGGCACTAGGAATAAATTGCTCGTAAAGCCTGGGGCGGCGAACGGCAACTCCTCTATAGCGCCCTTGGACAGCATCTCCACCACTTCCGTGGAAATCATCTCGTCTTGTTCCTGAGGGAGGGACAATTCTCTGGGGAAATAAAACTGGACAGGCATGGAAACAAACTCCAGACGGAGTTGTAAAACCACAAGCATCTGAGGTGATCTTTGCCCATTCTTGACAAAATAGGGCCAGTCTCCCCGCCACCCGAACTTGAGCGTGAGGGGAAGAAAGGGTACTCACCGTAAGGACGTCTGCTGGGGGTACCACCGCGGGGGTATCTGGATCCCCAGGCCCGACCTCTTGCCGGGAAGAAGGGAGGGGCCCTCTGTTCCTGAAAACCTCTCGAGGGAAAGAAGGAACCTCTGGTTGCGCGGAATGCGCCTCGGAAACCACGGCCGGGTGGACGGTTCCTGCTACGCCCGGCCCCTCCGAAAACCTTAGGCGCGAACACGCGCTTCATGTTCGCCTGTGCCTTGTCAATAGCCGTAAAGGTCTTGACATAAGCACCCATATCCTTAACGAAGGACGTGCCAAACAGGAGACCCTCCTCAGTTGGATCAGGCTCCGCCACAGTCATAGCGGCCAATTTAGGGTCGATCTTCAGGAGGATCGCCTTGCGTCTTTCTGTAGACATGGCCGTATTGGCGTTCCCCAGTAAGCAAATAGCTCTTTGGACCCAACCAACTGCCACATCCACGTCCAGGACGGAGTCCCCGGTCCTGGCAGCATCCAAAAGCTCGTAAAGCTTGGAAAGGGGACCTAGGGTATCCAGGATCTTGTCCTGGCAGCTTTTAAGAGAGTGGTCAAGGCCCTTCTTGGGCTTCCATCCTGACTTATTCAGGAATTGAGCAATTTGCGGGTCAATGTCCGGGGTTTTGCAAGCCGCGCCCGGGAGGGACGGGCGTGGGCACTCGGCGCGCAATTTATTGCGGCCTTCCCTAGAAAGTGGCGTGCGGATACGCTTAGCCACATATTGGGCGATGTGATCTGGGGGAACCCACTCGGCGGACCGAGGATGACGTAGGTCGTCTGGGTCAAACAGGGGGTTGCCCTGCGGGTCAAGGATCGAGGTGTCACCCCCCGGGGGAGCAAGTGAGGGGCCCCGGGTATTGGCGGAGGACCCGGAGGGGTTCACGCCCGTAAGGGGCAAATCCTCGCCAGAATCATCATGATCAAAGGAGTCGTACTCCATAGCGTCGGACTCATCCTCCACACTCCGGTCGGTATCCGACCCAATATCATGGGCTCTAGCCCTTTTCCATAGTCTAGCCTTTTTAGCCCGGCCAGGGGCTCTTTTGCGCGTGGGGTGCGCGCTATCTGAGACCGCCTCAGGCGTGTCAGTCATGGCAGGTAAAACCTGCATCGAGGAGTGGGAGCCGACATGTTTGGACTTAGCCTTTGCCTTACGGGCTCCAGGCACAGTCTGAGCAGGGGAGAGGGCAGGGGTGGCCATGGGAGGTAAAATCAGAGAGTGCAGGGACTGGGAGAAATTAGAAGAGACAGCTCCCATGGCTGAGGCAATAGCCTTCTGAATGGAGGAAGCCATAGTGGCCTCTAACATGGCCTGAAACTCTTGGGAGGCCATGGCACCATCAGTACTATCTAATTGGAAGTCCCCTGGGGGACCAACAGGCCCATCACCCCTATCCTGCATGGTAGTGACAGTGACAGAATAGACAGTGAGAATTTAAAGTAAAATAATAATGCAATGGCAATTATATAGTTACCAAACTGACTACAAACAAAGCAGGCTGGATAACACCAGGGTGTTAGCTGGGAGAGAGAGGGAAGGGTTGATTAACCCACAAGGAAATTGAAAAAAAAACAAACGTTTTGGCTGGTGTCCCCAGGGAGCAGGGCTACGAGGTGGCCGGTCGCACGGCAGCACTGGGAGGAATACAAAAGACCGCCCCCAAAATGGCCGCCGCACGAGGAGGCACACGAGGAAAACACTCGGCGGGGGAAGGGGCTCGTGCACCCGCCCGCCGAGCCGACACGCTAACTGGAGTGAGGGAGGAGAGAAGCGTGTACACCGCCGCGGTCGCGAGGAAAATCGCGGCCGCGGCACAGCAGGTCGGGTCCCGTGCAGAAACACGGGTAGGAGAGGGGAGAGTGGAGGGGAGGGGTGGGGACCGCCCGGACGGGGCAGAGACACACCCGCGGGCCCAGAGGGGAGACACCAGCCGGGGAAAAACAAAATCAAAACATCAAACCAATATAAACAATAAGAAAACAAATAAGAGTAAAACAAACAGTATGAAAAATCATAAAATGAAACACACTGTAATACAAATTAAAATGGAATCACAATGCAAGCCAAAGATCAGAGAAACACTTATCTGTCTGAGGAAGCAGCAAAGAAAGAGGGGGATTGTGGGAGACACAAGACTTATATAGCTACTTCCTATACCCTGTGATTGGCTACCTGTTGTGCCTATACAGTTTTTTTCTTCAGTTTTGATAATATTTATATTTCTCTTTCTTTGCTGCTGAGGAAATAAAGAAAGAGTTATGCATAATATGAGCCTCCGTGTCTTTAATAAAATTAAAATGCAACAGTTCCACTTAAACAGAGCCCCGTTTTATTACTTCAACTTGGTCTATGATAGTAATTTAAAACAAGCGCCAGGCCATGTAATCTCATGCTGTTTGGCTGCAGCAGTATTTTTCTCCTGTTAAAAGGATACAATAGTGCCAGGAATACAAAGCTATATTCCTGGCAATATATTCTCTCCCCCCAGCCTGCTAAATAAAACAGCTGAGTAAAAAGAAAATCAACGATAACTTGTGTCAACCATTTGTTCATGAGATGCTAATTTTTCTTTTAAATTGAGGGTATAGCAAGTGAGATCACAATTCAGTTTTTTACAAATGTGGAGGAGAAATACAAATATTTAATTTATCCTCTTTTCCATATGCTTTCTCTATGATGCCTGCAAGATACAATTATGTACCGTCATACACACAAGACCACTCATTTTCCAATCTCAGCCAATTCCTGATGTTGGTGATACTCTCAAAAGGCAGAAATGCCTTCCTTACTCTAATAATGGATGCCTAGATAAAACTTGTACACTTTTTTCTGCTAACGCTGTAAATATGCCCTGATCATATATTACACCTAATTATTTGCAACTGTTTACGCTGGCCACCCAGTGGCATTTAAAATCTCGAATGACACCCACAATTCTGCACGATACTGTTGAGAAATCTTTTTGATTACGTGGTAGAATAACAAAGCATGTTTATTTGCCTAAAAAATTGTGCTGACTTATCAAATGTCATTATACTATATCTGAAAGTGTCCTTATAAGCTTGTACATGTTGTTGTGGCATTACAAGCCTCCTTGTTACTCTAAGCAAAGAAAAATAAAGAATTCTTAAAAATTCAGAAATGCCTCGTCATTTAATCCAGAACCCAAACAGTGGAGGGACCGTGAGCTTTAGAAATAAACTCTTCCAATCATGACTCTCAGTGGCTCTATTTTCCTCTGAATGTTCAAGTGATGAGTGTGATGTTTAGTTAGAAGCCATGCTCCAAAATCTGGTCACAGAAAACACTTATTGCTTCACTAATTCCATGTAAATCCTTAAACTTCTTGTGTGTAAAAATATCCTCGGCTGTGTTATTTGCCTGGATCTTGACCATCTCCAAAAGAATCCTAGAAATGAAGAGGCAAAATTGTATTTTATATTTATTAACGGGATTAAAGTAGATGTTGCCTTGCACGTGTCATCTTGGTTCAAAACAAATCAAAATCAGTCATCTTGCTTCAAAAGACACCATACATCCAACATTTAACTGGGGAGTGTTGTATGTCATTCAGTCTGGCTTCTGGTCCCCATTTGTTACTGGCATTTTGAGGCCATACAGAATATTTGATCGGTGCATTTACGTACCAGTTGACAACTTGGTTTCGATAGTTATATATAGTTATATGGGGTAGGCCTAGTACTGGTAGGACCTAATGTTTGTCTCCAAACCAGTCTAAATTCTTGTTGTAGATTCTATATGTTGCTGGAAACTGTCATAGGAAAAAAAATTCCAGGACAATTTTAGCATCATTCAGTTCCTGCTAACTTCTTGGCCATGCATTTATAAATATTACAGCACTCCTCATTTGAACCTATTTTATGAAGAATGAAACATTGTCACTGTTTACATCATTGTCTTAATGAAGAAACAATGCTCAACCGAAAATGAATGCTGGAAAGTTTGGGGGTAAATTTTCCTCTAATCTGCAGTGGAGTCATTATTAATCCCAAACCCACGTGTAGGAAGGTTCTTCCCTACATTAAAGGGATACTATAGGCACCAACACAACCTAGCTTGAAGCATTCTCACAGCTTAAATCTTTGCCATATAGGAGTTAAATCACTGTTTATTCAAGCCTGTCACACCTCCCTACACGTCTTACACAGCTCTCCTAAGCACTTCTTAGAAAGTGAGATCTAATATTTTATTTTTTATGATGTATATGTAAAAAAAGAACTCTTCACTATTACATTATTCGTTGATCGCTCTAGACGCAACAACCTTAAAATAAGAGCCCATCACTATGGAGGAATTGCCACACTAGCTAGGGCGATTAGTGGCCTCCCTGTTACTCCCAGCACAAGCCAAAAAAACTCAGGTTCGGGGGGGCGTGGCTAACCGCAGAGCAAGATGGACGTCTGAATCTCTGCTCCGGCACGAGGGCTCCACTAAATAGCAAACTTCAACGAGCTGAAACCCCTACACCAACTAAAAATAACATGGCTACGTCCAAAGCAAAGAAGGCTGCAGTCAAGGCAGAAAAAATGAACTTCTTCGGCCACAAATCCTCCTCCACGACGGAGACCATGCGGGCGGCAGAGCACGAGGGCGCGGATGGTATAGCACCCAGCCCACCGCCGACAATGCCGGATGACTCCCAGTCTATAGACTGTCTAACACGGAGCCACTTTGAGCAGGCAATGGCAACAAAATTGATTTTTACATGGCAGGCAACGGCTGATCAAATTAAAAAGGAGGTGAGGGACCTGTCATCCAGGACCTCTGCAATGGAAAAGCACTACCAGGAGCTTGCCTCCGCGCAAACAACAGTCTCGGAGCACTTACAGGCGCTGCGCTGCAGAATGGAAAATATGGAAATGCGCATGGCGGACCACGAAGACAGGGCACGCAGGAATAACCTACGGCTCCGGGGAGTACCAGAAAAAGTCCTCCCCGATGATCTGCAAGCCTACGCACGGGGCCTCATGAGGGCGTATGCCCCAGACATACCTGCGGACATGCTCTTGATAGACGGGATCCACAGGGTGGCGAAGCCAAAAAACCTGCCTGACTCCATACCGCGTGACGTCCTACTTAGAGCTCACTATTTCCACATTAAAGAGCTGGTCCTACGCTCCCACCGTAGCAGAGAAGGCCCACACGCGGATTTTCCAGCAGTACGCATCATGGCGGATATATCATCGGCCACTCTCCGCCGCAGGAAGGACTACACCCAGACCACTACAGCACTCCGCAACCACGGCATACACTACAGGTGGGGCTTCCCCACGAAGCTGATTCTCTCCAGACAAGGGAAGACGGTCGTTATTTCGTCGCCAGAGGAGGGCAAGCGCTTCTTGGAAAAATGGGGCCTACTAAAGGAGTCCCCGGAGGAGACTCGCCCCGTCAATTGCAGCTTAAGCCGCACCATGGACATGAACTGACATGCCTAGCTGGAAAGGATAGCTATGCCCAACGCAAGTATCACTGTTTAACCACATGCGCTCCGTTATGACCAAGTTATTACCTGACTATGTATGTATATTGTCTAAATGCCACCTCTATAGAATATCTCCCCTGCTGATGTCTATCCCAGTAACTCATCACCCCCACGGGCACATGGGAACTCACCTAGGGGCAACACTCTATGATGTGATAAGTGCTGCACGGGTGATGCCCAAGGAAAGAAAAAAAAAAAAACACCCTATCCTATGCTACTAGCTCAGGTCTATCCCCCTAAATCCAATACTACAGCACCGGATAGTGCCATTGAACATAGAGAATGAGGGGCACATAGCATATGGTAAAAGGGATACTGAACCGGGGAACCCTGGGACAGGCACATGTCCGCCTTAACGGCACTAAAAGGCACCCACCCCCACAACCAATACGCCCACCTTACTAATAAAGATAGCAGGGATTGTGTGGAAAGTTTAGTGACTCAAAGGGCCGACAAGCCAAGCTCTGCTTTATGAAACCCTACCTTACTGGCACGCATAAGCTCCGCGGCATAATACTACACCAGGCCTTTGGCTACTGAAAGTTTAACATGCCCTGTGTCACTCTAAGGCACCCGCAAGCCAGCCAGCACGTAGGCACTCAACGGTAAACACAGACTTGCTAGGCCTCTCCACATCTGCCCCCCTGATATGACGTATACTCCCACCTAGGAAAACCCAAGCTCAGGGCAACATACCAAGTGAACACTAATGGCCCTGAGGGGATAGAGAGGAGCCCCCTTCCAAACTAATGTTACGAACGTAGGTGAACCCGGGGAAAATGGGAATAGACGCAATGATCACAGGAGTAAGACATACAGGGCCCAACTTGGTTTATAATGTCAAATGACACATTGTTACTTGCTTGCCTCCTTGACGATGTTATTTACTGTTATATTTTACTGTTCATATGTTATGTTTGCCACCTCACCACACATGGTTTCAGCTCCATCCCAACACACAACTTGGAGCCCACTAGCCACGTACTTGGAAGCTCCAGCTCTTCAACCCCACGGCGCGACTAGCGTGCCAGACCATACGGTCTCTGTACATAGCACCATCCCTCTATAACACCCTAACCCAACCACACAACCCCTGCCCCCCCCCCGACATAGTTGACACACAGAAGAGCCAGTTCAAGCCGCAAAGCTATATATCAATCTCTTTACGCACAGCATTAAGTACAAACGAACATGATCATCTACTCACACAATACCAAAGGCCTTAACACGCCACATAAACGTCGAATGCTACTAGACGACATAAAACGTACCAAAGCAGACATAGTCTGCATACAAGAAACACACTTTGTAACCAATAGGGTCCCTCAGTTTGCCTACAGGGACTACCCAACACAATTTCACGCAACCCATACGTCCAAATCTAGAGGAGTTTCTATACTATTCCACAACTCCCTAACTGTAGAAACCCTACGGGTCAAAAAAGACATTCAAGGAAGATATATCATCTTGCAATGCAGAATCAATGACCACCCATACATCATAGTATGCCTTTATAGCCCAAACGACCACCAACGAAACTTCCTACACAAAATCCTCAATAAACTGCCAGATGACGCAAGTTACCCCAAGATCCTATGTGGAGATTATAATCACACTATGGATACTCGTATGGACTCGACATCCCCAAGCACCTCATCCAAACATCTCAAATTAGGTCCTCACAATAAAGCATTTACGAAACTTATCTATGAAAATAGCCTATACGACGTCTGGAGGACAAAACATCCCTCAGACAGGTCCTACACATTCTTCTCACAAGCACACAAAACGTATTCAAGAATTGACCACATACTAGCCTCCGGTACTCTGCTCCCACGCGTAGGGGACTGCTCCATAGGTAACATAGTGTGGTCTGATCATGCCCCACTGATGATGACATTAAACTCCAATTACCTGCATCGAGGCAAACCGCCATGGCGCCTCAATGATTTCCTCCACTATGACAAGACATTCACAACTTCACTGGCGTCAGAATTGGAAAACTTCTTTAAGACAAATGACAACTCGGAGGCCTCTATCTTCTCCATATGGCAGGCCCACAAAACGGTCATAAGGGGTCACCTTATCGGCCGAGCATCATACCTTAAACGCAAGCGAAAAAAAGAGCACATGGATCTCCTACGAAAGCTAAGAGATACCACATCTGCTCACCTACTGAACCCAACTGATACACAAGAAAAATAAATAAAAGACACCACCAATCAAATTAATGCATTGACCTTTCAAAAAACAACCCACATCTTGACAAAACTGAAACTCAGAACGTATACCCAGGGCAATAGAGCAGGGAAACTTTTGGCTACTATGCTCAAAAAACAACAGACGAACTCTAAAATCCCACATCTGATTACAGCCACAGGCGAAAAGATACATAACCCACAAGACATTAATGACAGTATGGCCGACTATTACCACACCCTATATAACCTCAACACAGACCTTACCCTGCACCAACCAACTCCTAGGGAAATTGATGATTTTCTCCAAACGGTGGAACTCCCAACACTTTCCACTACCCAAAAAGCCGCTATACAACACCAGATCACTGTACAAGAAATCATAGATACTATCAAATCTCTGCCACCAGGGAAATCACCAGGCCCAGACGGTATGACAAACACCTACTACAAACAATTCGCACCAATCTTAGCACCTTACTTACAAAGGGTATACCACCATGCCACACAAACAGGACAACTTCCACGGGAGATGTTGATGGCCCACATAGCCACTCTTCCTAAACCAGGGAAACCCCCGAATAGGTGCCAAAATCTCCGCCCCATCTCCCTACTAAATACGGATGTAAAAATTATAGCAAAATTTTTTTCTAATAGGCTAGCGCAAATTATACCTTCCCTGATACAGGAGGACCAGGTGGGATTTGTCGGGGGCAGACAGGGGGCAGACGGCACTAGAAAAACTCTAGACTTACTTTACGAGATACAGGAGAGTAAAAACCCTAGTGTCCTCTTATCCCTAGACGCTGAAAAGGCCTTCGATAGGCTTCACTGGCCCTTCTTGAGGGCAGTACTCCAGAAATTTGAATTCGCCCCGCAGTTCTTAGCACTCGTTCAAGCACTATACTCCTTACCGACAGCCAGGGTGGTCAACGGGGGATTCATCTCAAAACCTTTCCAAATATCCAACGGCTCTAGACAGGGCTGCCCACTCTCCCCATTACTCTATATACTAACGCTCGAACCCCTCACCCAATTAATACGAAACGACCCGAACATACACGGGATTAAGACCAAAGGCCGAGAATACAAAATGTCATTATTTGCGGATGATATCCTGCTTACGTTGGAACAACCACACATATCCCTGCCCAACTTTCACAAAATCCTATCCCACTTTAGCGCATGCTCATACTATAAACTAAACATTTCCAAAACCTTAGCCCTGGGCATTCATATCCCGAAATCAGACATGACTAACCTTAAGGCGCACTTTAAGTATGACTGGAGACATGACCATATCAAATTCCTAGGAGTCCACTTCACCCCCTCAACCAACACACTATTCAAGGCAAACTACACCAAACTACACGCGGAAATTAAAGCTCTACTACAAGGATGGAAGGGAAAATACATATCCTGTACAGGCACAATAGCCTCAGTAAAAATGGTTGTGACGAGACCAATCTCGCCACATTGCATTGGAGAAGCCTGGTTGCTCGCCTGCTGCCTTTGGACTATGGCCCCCTTTTAAAAGACTTTATTTTTGCCTGCAGAAAAGCTGTATTCGTGCTTTTCTGCCTGGGGTTCGGTAGATCTGTTTGAATGTGTTATACCCCAGATAGGAATCCCATGGAGCCCATTCGTATGAAACTGACTGTAAAGACTTTAGCTCCATGGCGATTAAACTGTATTCGTGTGGTCTGAGCGCCATTCACTTAATAATGTGCGCTCTGACCTGAGCTATCTGGGGATATGTTACATGTCTGTGTTTTATGTAATAAATGTGACTTTATGTATTTTAAAGTGTTTTGTGTCTCTTTGCAACCATGTGCTTAATGGAGTCTTGTGTCTATCCTGGGAGATAATTGAATTACTTATCTCCAGGATAGAAGACTCTGAAACTGGTTTGGGCCAGAAAGCCATGCTTCATTTAGTCACAAAGGACTTTTTACTAACTTTTGAACCCCTTGTCTGATTTGTGCCATTTTTGAATATGTTGTTCCCCTGAATGGATTGATTGTGCATATGTAATTTTATGTGAATGTGATGTATGGTTTTAGAGTTATGAAAGTTGGGTAGAAAGTATGTTTTAACTGTATGTATAATTGAGTTTCCTCTCAGGATAAGGGGAGGGAATATGTGGGATGTAACTGTGATGTGATTGGTTGTTTTATACCTCCCTGTGGGCGGTCCTGTATTTGTAAGACTGTAATAAAAACCAGGCTGGGTGTGCCAGCACCTCAGACCACTGCTTGACCCTCAACACGGAGCCTTGTCTCGTTCTTGGGGGGATTCACTGTATGCTGTTAGAGACTGATTGCCAGGAGTGTAAGCTGATTGTCTGCTTTTCCTGTTCGCCTGCTAGCAGCTATTTGGGAGGTTCCAGTTCGGGAGTTGGAGTGCTATTTTGTATCCAGTTCGTGAGTTTTGGTGTTCTGCAGTAGCTGTGCCTGGATCTCTGGAAGGGGGCCGATCGCCTAAACGGTTTTTACCCCCTGTGTGCAAAACGGTCCGTTACAATGGTGATCCTACCAAAAATCCAATATTTATTCCGCACACTCCCACTCAAACTCACCAAACACTACTTAATGGAACTGCAACGCAGTATAAATGAATACATATGGGACTACAAAAAACCAAGAGTGGCCTCAACCACGATGTACAAACCCCATGACCAGGGCAGAATGGGCCTGCCGGAAATAGAGAAATACTACAGAGCAGCCCACATCGCCCCACTCATTGCAGCATCGCACCGCCAGACCCCCTTGGCCTGGGTTGAATTGGAGAGGAGCCGCGCCAGGGGGATCTCCCTCCCAGCTCTGGCATGGCTGCCGACAAGCCTCCGACCTAAAACATCAGAACTATTGCCAACCACCAACCTAACCCTCTCCATATGGGATAACTACCACCGAAAGAGAGGAACAACGACATCCTTCTCACCAGCAACCCCGATGGAAGCACTACGACAGCTCATCCCAGACTTCAACTACAAACTCTGGCAGAGACATGGAATAAACACACTATCGCAAATACTGCAGGGAGACCGCCTTAAGCCCCTTACAGATATCTGCACAGAATACAAGCTAACCAAGACAGCGACCTTCTCCTATATCCAATTACAATCATGGATAAAACTCAATAAACCGCAACAAACGGCAGCCCCACCTGACCCACACTAGCTCAACCTGCTACAAATATGCACCAAAGTCAAGCCAGCAAAGAAACTCATCTCAAGAATCTACGCTTCCGCGAACTCGGCCACCCAAGCATCTCCGCCTTCCTTCCAAACGGCATGGGAACGGGATATAGGACACAAGCTCACGAGTGACCAATGGCGTACCATATTCCATGCCAACAAAAAACTCACCCTATGCACATCACACATGGAAACCTCCCGCAAACTATTATACAGATGGTACTTAGTCCCAACAAGACTTAAACACAGCTACCCGAATATTTCTGACAAATGCTGGCGGTGCCTAAGGGACCGAGGCACCTTACTGCACATATGGTGGCAGTGTCCGCTACTGCAAAACTACTGGTCACAAGTCCTAGACCTAATAAAGAGCTGTACCGAACTACATATCTCCCTACTGCCGGAAATATTCCTGCTACTACTACTTCCCCCAACACAGCACATGCACACTAAATACCTGCTATATCACATATGTATAGCAGCCCTCACTATCATCAGCAGAAATTGGAAACAAACTACAGCACCAACGCTCAACCAATGCATCACAGCGATAGAAGCGTCCAAAACCTATGAAACAATGGCAAGGAAAACAAGTCGGGCCAGCCCCTATTGGACAGAAGCATGGAATCTTTGGGACCGAAACAAACCACAGTGAACCAACGAAAACTAAAACCCTCCATATAGATGAATAACCTCCACGACCGGAGGCGACCAAACAACACGCAAGATGGCTCACATACACATTGCATACACACTGCACCTACATTGCACCCACACCATACTCATATAACACCTCCGTACACCGCACCCAAATTACACTTATGTAATTCAGGTACACCGCACGACAAATACCCCTCCGCAACTCTGCTCCCCCTCCCCAACATATTGGATAGTGTCAACCTCTAAATCCAATCGAGCTCGAACCACCGAGGACAGACACCGCCCAAAAACAACATACAAAGCTCAACTTGCTCTGAGAACCAAGATATTATAACTACTGGTGTTACCCGAACGAGCCCACAGCAGGTAATGGTGTTAACCTGCGCAGTGATTCAATACAGTTGACAATCTCATGTATAAGTTTATGTATAACCCCCCCCTGTGTCTCCCTCTTGCCTTCTGTACCCCTTCCTCTACCCTCAATCACAAAATAAAAATTGTCAAATTCAAAAAAAACTCAGGTTCGATGGTATATTTTGTCTGCAAAAATCACCCAAGGCACCGACCAATGTCACAAACGACATCATAATACGCTGCTACCTCACGCAAGACAGGAGAGCAATCCTGACAGCACTACGAAACCAGACGCCTTAATCATTAGAAGGAACAGACCTATTCTTTTACCAAGACCTTTCGAGGTCCACCTTACAATGGCGCAGAGCGCTCCTTCCAATAACGAGCCAACTCAGAACTGCGGGAGTGACCTGTCGATGGACCACCCCAAGATCCCTAATGGTGAACCACAATTGGACTGTATTCAGTCTGTCTTTGACCGAAGAGGCACCAGCTCTGTTTCAAACATTGGGATTACCTGTTCTGGCATGATGACGGAAAACCACAGAAGCACTCATGCCTGGGACGCAACCACCGTGGTCCCTTTCACCCTATGGGGCCACCCATCGACGAGCTGGGACATGACTGAGCTCCAGACTGCTGTGAAAGCCAGCAGCAATTGGCCACAGCCCCAAGAAATCATTATATTTGTTTTTGCATTATATTGTTTGTCTGTTGATAAGGTTTGACAGGGTTACCACAACCAACATCCTGGTACCTGAGAGGGTGTTTTAAGACCCTCCTACTAAAGACTCAAAGATTATGGTGCTCTTCCGATTGAGTGAGATCTGGCGTAGCCCCTTTGGCTAGGGGTACCAACAGCAAGAGCTGGTTTAAGCACATCATACCATAGTTCCACTACTCGGCATGCCCTAGGCTCATAAACGACAATCGCTCAATACTGCACGTCACCAACTAACGCTCAGCCCGTTTACTCTTATTAGTCAGCGGATTCCTCCCCCTAATCGCCCCTCCATGTTTTCATGGTCACACACACCAAAATCCTCATAGTCTCCCATGCAAGATTACAGAAAAAAGGGGATAAAACATTTTTTAGATACATAAACGAGAAAAGGAAAGTAAAACAAAGATTAGTTAAATTAAAAACAAAAGGACGGTATGTAGAAGAGGATAAAAGTCTAGCTGACTGCCTCAATTAATATTTTTCTTCAGTATTTACAGACTAAAACAAAGGAAAGGGGTCTCAGTTAGGAAAAAGGACAAATTAGTTTTTTGTTACATGTGAGTTTACAGAGGAAGAGGTTCTATTTCAACTGTCAAAAGTAAAGACAAATAGGTTAATGGGACCTGATGGAATACACCCAAAGCTATTAAAAGAGCTTAGTGGTGTACTAGCAAAATCATTAACAGATTTATTTAACCAATCATTCTTAACAGGAGTAGTCCCAGAAGATTGGAAGTTAGCGAATGTTGTGCCCATTCACAAGAAAGGTAGTAGGGAGGAGAGAGAGGCAACTATAGGCCAGTAAGCCTTACTTCAGTAGTGGGGAAAGTAATGGAATTGGAAACCATGTTAAAGGATAGAATTGTTGAACATCTAAAATCACATGGATTTCAAGATCAGAGACAACATGGGTTTACTTCAGGGAGATCATGCCAAACTAATCTTATTGATTTGTTTTTATTGGATAACTAAAATTATAGACCAGGGTGGTGCAGTAGACATTGCTTACCTAGAGTTCAGTAAGGCTTTTGACACTGTTGCACATTGAAGGCTTATCAATAAACTGCAATCTTTAAGTTTGGATTCCAATATTGTTGAATGGGTAAGGCAGTGGCTGAGTGACAGGCAACAGAAGGTTGTAGTCAATGGAGTATATTCAAAGCGTGGGCTTGTCACCAGTGGGGTACCTCAGGGATCTGTACTTGGACCCATTCTCTTTAATATTTTTATTAGTGATATTGCAGAAGGTCTTGATGGTAAGGTATGTCTTTTTAAGATATGTAACAGGGTTGATGCTCCAGGAGGGATAAGCCAAATGACAAATGATTTAGGTAAACTAGAAAAATGGTCAGAATTGTGGCAACTGACATTTAATGTGGATAAGTGCAAGATAATGCATCTTGGACGTAAAAATTCAAGGGCAGAGTACAGAATATTTGATAGTCCTAACCCCAACATCTGAGGAAAGGGATTACGGGGTGATTATTTCTGATGACTTAAAGGTAGGCAGACAATGTAATAGAGCAGCAGGAAATGCTAGCAGAATGCTTGGTTGTATAGGGAGAGGTATTAGCAGTAGAAAGAGGGACATGCTCATGCCATTGTACAGAACACTTGTGAGACCTCATTTGGAGTATTGTATGCAGTACTGGAGACCGTATCTCCAGAAGGATATTGATACTTTAGAGAGAGTTCAGAGAAGGGCTACTAAACTGGTTCATGGATTGCAGGATAAAATTTACCAGGAAAGGTTAAAGGATCTTAGCATGTATAGCTTGGAGGAAAGACGAGACGGGGGGATATGATAGAAATATTTAAATACATAAACGGAATTATTTTTGATGACTTAAAGGACCACTATAGTGCTAGGAAAACATACTCGTTTTCCTGGCACTATAGTGCCCTGAGGGTGCCCCCACCCTCAGGTTCCCCCTCCCGCCCGGCTTTTTCCAGCGCTGGGCGAGGAGCTCTCCGCCTCCGATCCTCCTCCTCTCCTCCCCGTCGGCTGAATGCGCACACGCGGCAAAAGCTGCGCGCGCATTCAGCCAGTCGCATAGTAAAGCATTATCAATGCTTTCCTATGGACGCTTGCGTGCTCTCACTGTGATTTTCACACTGAGAATCACGCAAGCGCCTCTAGTAGCTGTCAATGAGACAGCCACTAGAGGCTTTGGGGGAAGGCTTAACCCATTGATAAACATAGGAGTTTCTCTGAAACTGCTATGTTTATAAAAGAATGGGTTAAGCCTAGCTGGACCTGGCACCCAGACCACTTCATTAAGCTGAAGTGGTCTGGGTGCCTAGAGTGGTCCTTTAAAGGTAGGCAGACAATGTAATAGAGCAGCAGGAAATGCTAGCAGAATGCTTGGCTGCTTGGGGTAGGTAAAGGTGATTTTTCTTATCTGAACCTGTAATTCATAGGCGCTGCCATCTTTGTCCAGTGTGGTCCTCCTCAGCACTGACATCACTGTTGTACTCTCAACAGTTTTAAGGTCTGTGGAAGAGACTGCAGGATCCTTCAGAGACACTGCCAAGTCCCTGCAGCCACCACTGATGATGGCTGCAGGGATTGACACTCTCGCTTCAAACATGGAGCCATGTTAACTACAGGAAGTCCGACTGCAGCGGCATTGCTCTGGGGGATCAACATCAGGGTCAACCTATGGGAAACCGTTTAACTCCCAGTCCTTTCCCTACAATAACTTCAATGAGGTGAAGTTGTTAAAGGATCACTATGTCAGGAAAACAAACTTGCCATTTCTCAGTGCTTTCCTATGGACGTTCTGCCTGCTGAATGCGAATTTCACATCCAGCATCGCAGATGCGCCAATTTCACATCCAGCATCGCAGATTCGCCTAGCGGCTGTCAGGAAGACAGCCACTAGAGGTTGGATTAACCCTGCAATGTAAACATAGCAGTTTCTCTGAAACTATGTTTACAAGTGAAGGGTTAAA